CATGACCTGAGCCGAAGGCAGTCGCTTAACCAACTGAGCCACCCAGGCGCCCTGGCACATACTAGGTGTTTTTAAAATGTGTGAATGGATGAAGCTTCCAAAACTATTGTTTTTAAAATTTGAAGCAAGGGCCAAAAAGAATGAACGCCTTTTTTTTTTTTTTTCTTAGAATCGCAGAATAAATGTGCACATAAAATTTTGGTAAATTTGTGAAGGAAAATAAGAGTTTAGTACTATAAGTATGGATCAGCAAAACAAGCAAAGTTGTCCCCTCAGAAGACTCTGAGAGGAGATTTTATTTTTATGCCAGTACCCACAGTGCTGTGGATAAAAGCCATTTATTTCTGGAAGTATCAAAAACGTTTGGAATCACCAACTTTACCTGTTAACAAAGATGGATTCATTAGCACTGGAATTTTCAATTGATTCCATATGTCAAGAAGATAATCCGAGAGTAAAACTTCTCTGTTTGTAACAAAATCCTTGATAGGGTTAAGCAGCTGTGTTTAACTGTCCTCCGGGTCATAGATGGAAAACTCTACTAATGTGATCTAAGCTTGAATGCTCACGGCCTGACTTGCCTGCGTTCACGGAGCTGTCAGCCAGTAGTCCCATTGCTGAGTGTCGCCTAAGAAGACAAAAGATTTAATCAGCATAACAGGAGAACTAAATCAGCCGTTCTTAACAAAGGAGGGTTTAGGGATACACTTTGCCTTGCTCCTCTCGGCTGCAGAGAGTGGAGTGGGCCATTTCGACTACAGGATGGGGAGCAGAGTAGCTGGGGCAAATGCTTCAGCATCTTTGATATGGATGGTCCTGTGGCAGAAAGAGCCTTCACAGTGACTTGCTTACTCCCCGGAGTGTTCTTCTCTGAGGCACTGGTGCTTTGAGTATCCATCTACCAGGAGAACCTGAAGGGTTCCCACCTGCAAGAACTCACCTGTCCTCTTGCAGGTGTTCAAGGACAAACAGAACTGAGGCCTCAAGAGAAGCTCTGGGCTGGGGCTTCAGGGGAAGGAGCCCTCCTAGCCTGTGGCCAGTCAGACCTTCATACATGACAATGGGTGGCAGTGTCCCTGTTTTTCACCAGGATTAGGATAACACAGTTGCCCTGAACCTATAGGATTTGCTTACCTAACTCCTATTCTCCCCATTAGACTCTGCTGAAATGTATCCACTTCCTCTCACGATCTCTGACCCGCTGCCCCAGGCGGGTTAGCCTTTTCCTCTCCTGTCTCCTGTGGACACTTGGCCACCCACCCCACTCCAGTAGTGCTACATTCCATGGTAGTCTTCATTCCCACGTCTGACCAACACTGCTGATGCTGTTCTTGAAGCTTTTATGCAGAAAAAGCCCCCATTGTCACGTTCTCCCTTCATCTTTTCATTCCGTGCCCATGTCCTCTTGTCCGTTTTTATGGCACAGACATCTGATCCAGGGGGATGTCACCTCCAGTAAGTAGACAACGGGCCCAAAATGTCCATGTTTCCCCAAAGCTGAGATTCTTTCTGCTCTCCTACAGCTAAATCCTGCCTCAGGCTACCCTTACGTACAAATCTGGTTGCAAGCTCTCTCGAATTTATTGGTCCCTCAGCAGACTACTTCCTGGCAGTGCTGGGCCACAGCTCTAGGAGTGAATGCTAACAACTCCAAGAGCATTTCCTCCAAGGAGCTCTAAACTCCCTGGACACAAATGTCACTCACCTGGCATCATGCTCGGAGACCTCTTTACTGTCCAGTCAAGTGGTATCTCAGCTACAGCGAGACCACTGGGCTCCTGTGGCAGGAACCAGGGTCAAGCTCATCCTGTGGTTCTTTAGCCAGTATCCCTGAGCTTCTAACTGGGCGGTGGGCTCTGCACTGTCCCTGGGCAGTGTAGCGGGGAGTCTGGCAGGGCCTCTGCCCTCTTGAGCTCCTGGTCACAGGGGACACCAGTGAAGATTACTCAGCACCCAGGGGTACACCAGGGAGAGTGGGAGCCCTGAGCAAGAATGAGTGACTACCACACAGAGGCCTGTGTTTAAGAGGATAGTCTAGGGGCACCTGGGTGGCTCAGTTGGTTAAGTGTCTGCCTTTGGCTCACGTCATGATCTCGAGGTCCTGGGATCAAGTCCCGCATTGGGCTCTACACTCAGCAGGGGCTCTGCTTGAGATTCTCTCTCTCCCCCTCAATCTGCCCCTCCCCCCTGCTTGTGTGCTCACGCGCGCGCTCTCTCTCTCTCAAATACATAAAATCTTGAAAGAAAGAAAAAAAGAAAGAAGGAAAACGAGGATAGTCCAGGTACAAGGAACAGAACTGGAAAAAGCAGGGAAGCAAGTGGGAAAGGACATGGCATATGATCAGCAGATGCCTTTGGAGCAGAAGGTACCTGGGGGAGCAGAGGAAAAGGGACACAAAAGGACCCTGGAAAAGAAAGCTGGGCTCAGCTTAGGAAGGGTTTGTTTGCCCAGCTAGGGAGCTAGGACTTTTCCTCTCTTCTCCAACACAGGGCCCTGTGTACGTGTCACACCCTGCTAGGTGTACGGTGCTGAATGAAACAGGTGCCATTCATGCCCACATGAAGCTTATAGTCTAGTGGAAGAAGTGAACATTCACCGAATAACCACCCAGCATAATGCCTCTGCAGTCAAAGTTCCTGGGTAGGAGAGTAGCATGATCCAATGTGCATTTTAGAAATCTTGAAGAATTGGAGTAGATGGAGGGAGGCAACTGGAAGGGACATAGAATTAAATCTCCACCATGGCGGGCAGTGGGATGGTGAGCAGGGACAACCCTGATTCCTTTCACTGGCAAAGCAAGGAGGACTTGGGCAGTGTGATAGGTCCATGGGGAGCTATGATAATGCCAGCTTAAGAAAGAAACAGATGTGGGGTACAGTCCAGGTGGGCTAATAATTGGGAGTTTGGGCCATTTGAGTTTGAGGTGCTAATGGGCCATCCAGGTGGGGGTTGAGACATACGGTTTTGGAGCGAAGGAGGCCTGAGCACCAATTTTATCACAGGTCATCCTTGTATGGGTGACACCACTCATGGATGAGATGGCCTGGAGAGGGACAAAATTGCCCTGCTGTGCTTCCCAGTATGGAAGCAGAACTTACAGGCCACAGGGATGGGATGCTCAGCGGGCTTTAGTTAATTACTAGCCCATCTCCCTGTTCGGCAAGAAAGATGTAAAGCCGTGCCAAAATAGTCAATGTCACGAAAAGTTCTTTTTCCTGAGGAACCAGTGCTGCTTTTTGTCCTCCCAGACAATGTAAAGTTTGCATGTTTCCCTTCTTGCTTTCGAAGCCAGGAAGCTCAGAGCTAATTTTGAGACTTTGTTTTAGAAACCATATAGGATCGGGGCGCCTGGGTGGCTCAGTTGGTTAAGCGACTGCCTTCGGCTCAGGTCATGATCCTGG